AGTACTAAAGACGCGAGAAAGTGTTGTACATACGAGAGAAAATTAGCAAATAAGTGAAACTGTTGTGTAAATGATTACTGTGATCTTAGATCTATCAATGACCATTAGTTAATTAATTTAACTTGTAAAACTTTTAGTTAGATAAATAAAACGCTTTCCTTATCATTAGTGAACTGAAGTTTGCATCTTCACGTTTCCATTAATTGGGGATTGTTCCTCTCAAATTTCAAGAGTTATAGTACTATTTGTTTGTTTGTTTTTTGAATTTCGCACAAAGCTACACGAGGGCTATCTGCGCTAGCCGTCCCTAATTTAGCAGTGTAAGACTAGAGGGAAGGCAGCTAGTCATCACCGCCCACCGCCAACTCTTGAGCTATTATTTTACCAACGAATAGTGGGATTGAGCGAAACATTATAATGCCCCACGGCTGAAAGGGCGAGCGTGTCTATGGGACGGGGATTTGATCTCGCCACCGGCAGATTGCGAGTCGAGCGCCCCCTAACCACCCGGCCATGCTATAGTACTGAATCATCATCATGTGCAGGATGGGGAATTTTACTGCACCATAGTTTATTGTTTAGGAGCTTTGCCTTCGCAAGAAAACATTAAACATGTTTCTTGTATTTACCTATTAGCAATACACGATTGTTGCCATTTCTATTGTGTTCTTTTCTCCAATATTTAATTAATTCCATGGCTCACCCCTATAAGCTCGTGCGTGTAACTAAAGCTACGACCCCTATTTATGGAAAGTTCTACAGAACGTGGTCTTACTAATGGTTGTTTGATAGAGCCAAACTGAGATGCCTCGAAAACGGGATTAAGAAATTTGAAAGAGGCCAGGGAAAAAATAATAAACAAGAACACCATGGCCCAAATCTTCCGCCAGTCTTCTGAGTTTCAATAAATTGGATCACGCAGCGAATTGACTAAAAGCTTTCTCGGTAGGTTGTTAGGTTCCTATTTATAGCAGAATGTGAGGCGAGCTCAGAGCACAAACAGTTTGAAGACTGGTGCCAGGGATCTGTCTCCATAGAGTATTTACATTAGCAAGAACGAGAGGGTTAGTGACCATTCTCCGAGTGGGTTAGTGGCCATCCTCCTGAAAGTGTTTTTCTAGTAAAAACAAACAAACCAATCAGTGGAACGTACTTGTTGAACGTCTGTGATATTTTAAATGTCATGCAGCTTTTTCAGGAGCTGCAGAGTAAACTTCTTTCTTTAGTCTTTATGTTCTAAGGAGATATGGAATATTTTTTTTTCTCTCAAACAAAACCCTGGACTTTTTAAGAATTAATAGAATATCAGACTTATTGGAATGGCTTGTAAAAGGGGAGGTAATTTTCTGTGTTGTTGAAAGGTTTAGTGTTAAAGGGGGTGTTCGAATTTTCTTCGGGGGGGGGGATGAGGGCTGAAGGGTGAGACAATGAGGGCGAAGGTGGGCTGAATGACTTCATAGTAGAAAAAAATAGAGGAGATGATAGAAAAGCTGAGGGGCTGTGAGTATGGTCGTTTGTTGCAATTATTAATAATTTAATCAAAGAGGTATGTGGTATTGTAAGCTGTAACAGAAGTTTCTTTGACCCTTTAAATTGTGGGGGCAGTTTCTAATTAGCTTTCAGATCGACTAACTTACGTTTGCAAAAGGATGTCCACCGTTTCGTGGAATAATGGAAAATTGATCTTGTTTGTTTGAATTTCGCGCAAAGCTACACGAGAGCTATCTGCGCTAGCCGTCCCTGATTTAGTAATGTAAGACTAGAGGGAAGGTAGCTAGTCATCACCACCCACCGTCAACTCGTGGGCTACCCTTTTAACAACGAATAGTGGGATTGACCGTCACATTATAACGCCCCCACGGCTGAAAGGGGCGAGCATGTTTGGCGTGACGGGGATTCGAACCCGCGACCCTCATATTGCGAGTCGAGCGCCCTAACCACCTACCTGGCCATGCCGGGCATTTCATAAGATATTGCTAAGTTTAGGGATTCTATTTGATTTTTAGCGCTGCTTAAGATCACTGTATTGTTGAGACATGTTTGCTTTCT